GAGCCCTTGACTTAATTTTCTTTGAGGGACTAGACTAGATGATCTCTAAGCCCAGCTTAGTGAGGAGACTATGAACAGCTAGGTCTAGACCACTGTGCCTTTCTTTTGAAATGGCTTTTTATTCACTCAACTTTCCAAAATCCTTTTCTTTTTGACATTGGTTTGCTTTTGCATTTCTGATTTTACTAGTTTTACATGAGTTTGTGTAGCACCAGTTATCTCCTACTGCTTAGAAAACAGCATTGTGGGACTGAATTTTGTCTGCTGGTTTGTTCTTACCAATTAATTTAATGAATGACTCCTTAATTTTTCTGTCTTCACATACAGACTGCACATACACTGTTACATCTCTTCTCTGTTTAGGGCTTCAAGCAGCAAGCTCTTACAGTATCCACAGATCCAGAGCATCGCTTTGAACTTGCTCTTCAGCTTGGAGAACTGCACATTGCATACCAGTTAGCAGTAGAAGCAGAGGTATGTACTAAGTCATGATTTTTCATAACTGATGCAAAGATTAGAAGGTACTTCTTTGTGTTTAGTATAAGTTCTCATATTAAAGTTTTCTGAAATGCAAATCAGTAACTCTTTGGTGAGATTATTGCCTTTGATCATTTAAAAATGCATTTTGTTAGTCTTTATGTAAATTAAATGGCTTATATATATTGGAGATATATTCTTAGTATTCTGATTTAAGAAAAAGTGTTTTCTTTTTTTAAAGATTTTTATTTATTTGACAGAGACACAGCGAGAGAGGGAACACAAGCAGGGGGAGTGGGAGAGGGAGAAGCAGGCCTCCCGCAGAGCAGGGAGCCCGATGCGGGGCTCGATCCCAGGACCCTGGGATCATGACCTAAGCCGAAGGCAGACGCTTAACGACTGAGCCACCCAGGCGCCCCGAAAAAGTGTTTTCAATAGCTTATACGAGATCTATTTTGTAAGAGAAAATGTAAGATACTAGATATACTAGTCTGGGAACTCTAAGAGTACAGACAGACAAAGCAGTAATTTGCCAGTATCCCAAACTAGTGAGAAAGTTGTTGGTTTTAAAGAAAGATTTTAATATTTTGACACAATTTAGTGACATTTTAATGAATTGTTATCTATTGAGGGCCCCCCCAGCTGTGGTTTAAGGCTAGCATTTATTGGTAAATTCATTTCAGATGTGCTAAATAAATTTCAGCTATGTTAAGATCATCCAAATGTGTAGCATTTTGATTTCTGAGAAGCTGCAAATGACAGATAATATGGTTAAATATTTAAGGATATAAAAAGCAATTTTCTGCTCTTTCAAAAAATGGTATTAAATCACTCATTAAAGTAACTGCAATCTAATTACCTTAAAACTCCAATTAGATAGTATTACTTTTAGTTTTACTGTGTAATTACAAAATCAAAATATAATGGGTTGATTATACACGCATCATTAAAATTGATGTGTGTTTGAATTAATTTTGTATATGTGAATAACTTCCATTTTCTCATTACACATTTTGTCATTCCATTCTTATTTTGATTGATAGAACAACTTAATAGGCACAGCTCAGTACATGTATGAAATATCTCCCATTGTCAGCATCGTAATACTCAGGTTAACAGAAGAGTGTTGATGTTGACAATTCAAATGTTTATTTCCATAGATGTTTTAACTTGGAAACTCTTTCTTACAGTCAGAACAAAAGTGGAAACAACTTGCCGAACTTGCCATCAGTAAATGTCAGTTTGGCCTTGCCCAGGAGTGCTTGCACCATGCACAGGATTATGGGGGTCTGTTGCTCTTGGCCACTGCCTCCGGAAATGCTAGTATGGTGAACAAACTAGCAGAGGGTGCAGAGAGAGACGGCAAGAATAACGTGGCATTCATGAGCTACTTTTTACAGGGCAAGTAAGTATTTATCCTAGGTCTAAGAGAGGCGGGCATAGTAATTTAAAACACTGATTTCTGCACTGACTGTGAGGGTGGTTTAGAGAGGAAGAATGAACCTGGAAAGAGAATGGACAGAGTTCTGGCCTAGCCCCTGGCTAGTGGGGGCAGTCAGAGGACAGTGCTACCTTGGTGGCATTCGCCTTCAGCAAGGGATGCTCTTTACACATTTGGTCTAAATGAGCAAAATGAGCTGTTTAGGGAGGCTTGGACTGAGAGAAATGTTAAACCCCTTCCTCAAAAGCCCTGCTTCTCCCTAGCTGAGCCATCTTATTTTACCACAGCAGGAAGCTGTTGTGCTGCTCCCGTAGTACCCAAATGGCAGGTAGTTTTACCCAAATTGGGTAGTTCTGACCTGTCCATGACAAGAATAAAGGGGGTTGAGGATGTCAGGTAGTTCTAGAACTGAGTCCAATTGTAAAGCATAAAAATATCATATATTTCTAAAAGTTTAGCAGTTAGTGCAAACCAAATCATCTCAACATTAGTTGACCATATTATGAAATAAAACAAAAGTCTTCAATAACCTTGCCCTAGTGACGTTTTTAAACCTCACACTTTATTATAGAAACTTAGTATACCCCAGTGTGTTTCTGTATGTATTTATAAATTTGTATACTTGTAGGAATAGGTCCGTAATTTAAAAGCCAAAAAATGTCCTGAAAATAGTTTCTTATAACTTATTTGATGGCAAGACCTGAACTCTGAAGTACTATTTTTATTAGTTGCTTTTATGCCACTCATTTTATCACATTTAGTATTCATGTGTTATTGCAGAATATTAATGTTTACGACTTTTATTTGATGCTGAGGATGTTAGGTAATGTGTAGTATATGTACTGTATTACCTTTCTAAAACCCAAAACCCTGTTTTTTTTTTTCACCCAAAAAACCTGTGAATTCTAAAACACATTATCTACTTAATCAAACTTAGAAAAAAAAGAAAATTGAAATTAAGAAAACATACTAGGACATTTTCTGGCTGGGCATCACTGGGTTGCCAGCACAGCCCACAATGGAGACACTGACCTCGATGATCCCACTTGTGAAACTGAGTTTCTGCTCCTGTATCTCCTGAAAGCCTTTAAAATGTGCTTGTCTAAGCTGCCTTAGCTGGTCTTGAAAAGCCCCCTTAGCTGCTTCTTGGGAGTTGTTTAAAACAAGTTATCACGAGATTGAAAATGATCACAAACGTGTCCTATCCTTCATGCTCATGGCATCCTTTGATTTTGTAAACACACTGGTGATGACAAGTAAATGGTTCAGTGACAGAAATGAGCTGTATGTGTGGAAGTTGGGGAAAGAATACTGACTTTGCAACACTAAATCTACATTTCTTTGTCTATTCTTGGTAATAGTGCCTCTCCTTTTTAATCTTTAGGCTTGATGCTTGCCTGGAACTCTTGATCAGAACTGGCCGACTGCCAGAAGCTGCCTTCCTGGCCCGGACTTACTTACCCAGTCAGGTTTCAAGGTACAGACTTCTAGTTTTAGGAACAAATGTTTCAGATAAAAACTAGAGCATACTTACTCAGTCTCCCTTTGGTTCCATGTTCTCTACAATAGGGTGGTGAAACTCTGGAGAGAAAATCTTTCAAAAGTCAATCAGAAAGCAGCAGAATCCCTTGCCGATCCAACAGAGTATGAAAACCTTTTTCCTGGATTAAAAGAAGCCTTTGTTGTGGAAGAATGGGTGAAGGAAACACATGCTGATCTGTGGCCAGCCAAGCAATACCCACTTGTCACGGTGAGTCTCCAGGCAACCAGACCTCATTTATTGTGACTAGAGGGTAGAAGTGCATTCATACTTGGATTGAGAGCTAATATCTGGTATTTGGGTCAAGTTCATAGATGAATTATGATTTCAGAATATTTCATCATTGCTTTTATTCTGATAGCCAAACGAAGAAAGAAATGTTATGGAAGAGGCAAAAGGCTTTCAGCCCTCAAGATCTGCAGCTCAACAGGTCAGTAGAATACTGCATGAGATAATCTGGTTAAGATTTGTTCATTTTAAGTACCATCTCCCACTTCCTAATCCTAAACAGCTTCCCTTGGGGGAAAATTACCTGAACAAATTCCTTCATCTTTATCTGTGTCTCCACTTGGGCTTTCAGGAACGTGATGGGAAACCTGCTTCTCCTACTCCAGTTATTGTGGCCTCCCACACAGCCAACAAAGAAGAAAAGGTACAGACATCATACCTAGATTTTCCATGGGAACCCCAGGCTCACTTCTTCCCCATGAATGGTTGCAGGATGGGCAGGCCTCTGCATTTCAAGTGATGTCATCACTTTCAGAGCAGGGGCTCTGAAATGAGAAAATGCCCCTTTTGACTATTGCTTTGGTTCCCTTTGGATCATGAATCAGAGGTAACTTCAGAAGGTTATCAGAGATAACAAAGTGCTATATAACTCTTCTTTGCAGAGTTTACTTGAACTGGAAGTAGATCTGGATAATTTGGAATTAGAAGATATTGACACGACAGACATCAACCTGGATGAAGATATTTTGGATGATTGAGCGTAATGTTTCTTGAGAACCCAACTTCACAGATCATCATTATGGACGGGTATTGATTGCCACCCTGACCACAGTGCTTTGGACCCTGAGAAACTCCTTAGATTTTTATATGAAAACGCTGTGTGTGGCCCACTGGGAGTACAGTGCTTTTCTCATCTTAGGCGTGGTTTATGTGCAGCACCTAAATCACTGTTTCCTTGTTAAGTAAACCAAATGTGGGCTTTGATTTTTTTCATACTGTCATTAGACCGTATCTCATAAAATCTTTTGAATTAATGAAAATACTTGCAAGTTTCCTTTCTAAATAATTCTAAATAATGAAAATAAGCTTCTAGTTTTAGAAGGCTGAGCCAAACTACACCTCACCTAGGGATCAGCTCACATTCATTCTCTTAACCCTTTTTCTTGCTCACGTTCACCCTCCCCCAAGTTTATATACTTCGGTTTTTATGCCTCACCCTGATTTTGGAATCTGAAACCCAGGTCCTCTGATCTCGTTAAGCTGGGCTCTGTTTAAACTGTTTGGTAATACAGAAAGATACTTTTGGTCTTTGACACTGCACCTGTCTGATTAGGGACATTCGTAACCAGGCACTCAAATATACACTTCTCAATTATCCCCTTGCAGCCTAGGAAAATGAGTGGAGTAACAAGGTTGTCTTTGTATTTCTGTTAGAGGCACTGTTAAAAAAAACAATTTTATATAGGGAACTCGCATCAGTACTTTTAATTTTGACAGTCTTAAACATTCAGCTCAACATTACCAGAGAAAGCAAGTTATAATTTAGTAAAATGAAATTTATTCTAAAAAATGTTTTCAGGAAGCTGCAGAATGGCTAATGAATGTTTCTTGGTAAGCTTGTAGTGTTAATTCTATATATGCTCCCTTCTGTGCTTCTGTTTTTGCAAAGACCTGTTTAAAAAAAGAAACTCTTTTAAGCAATAGGACACACACTATAAAGATTTCCATTTCTGCATTAGCAAAGTCCCAGTTTAAAAAGTCTTCCAAGGTTCACGATATTTTTTTTTTCTGATTATAAAACAAGCATACTACATGGACCAAAAAAATAGTATCTGACACAGTTCAAGCCACAGTAGTTCTAAACACCAGAAGAATCCTAATATGGCTGCCAGCTCTCTTAGCCTATTTCCAGAAAAAAATTAAAACCTGACAGTGCACCTCCTGCTAGATCAAAATGAAAAACATTAGGTTTCAAGATAAATTTGGAGGATGAGTCAACAAACTAATTTTTCACTTTAGAGAATATTTACAGAATATTTTCCCCAAAAGCATTTTGCTTTATCTGGCCTATCACAGAAAACCAAAATTAGTACCATAGTTTCTCTCTACTCCTAGGGGGTCATCACTGGTCATTTTTATCCTTAGAACTGCTTTGTAGCAAGCATAAAATAAAACTGGGAGAGAAGCCAGAACAACAAAACCATGTCTGTTCTGAGCATTTGAAAATACACAAAAAAAGAGAAATTTGTGTAAGCCCATGGTTCTGAGAGGTATGCACTTCCAAAATGATAATGCAACTAAGGCTGAGTAATATACAAGCACCACCTTCTCCCCTTCTGGACAGGAACGTGACCACACTCTAGGACAAGAAGGTGCACTGGGAACATGTGCTTACCTCGTCCCTCCACCCTGCCCTGCTGGTGACTTGATCACCTCAAAGAACAAGGGGGCTGCTGCCCTACTATCTGAACTACTTGGACTCCAGCTGCAGCTCCCCCCACCCCCATCCCATCTGTTTCTGTTATCAGATGAAGAAATATGGGACTCCAGTTCCTATTTGAAGATCACAAATTTTCTGTGTATGTGAAATCTGTTTAGTTACCATTAGATATGACCCACTTCAAATTCTTCCCAACTAATTATCACCATACAACAGCCAGTGTGGGAAAAGTCCCTTTACCTTAATTAAATGTAATCCCTCAGCAGCCTGCTCCTTAGCCTCCTGAGCTGACTGGCCATCCGGATGGAGGAGGTGATACAGCTGAATCAAGCTTGTGGCATCATCAACTCTAGAGTGAAAGGATTTACTGCTATCAGTGGGTTTTCTTCATTTGCTTCACAGTCCTATAAAAATGTGTGCCAACGTAAAACTAAATTACACTTCAAACTTTCCTTGGGCCAGAATTTTTTAAGCCTTTAGTTTTATATCTTCAAAGGCATTTTCAGAAAATCGGCTAATTTAAGCTTCATATCCATACTGAGGTAGGCAGGGCAGGAATCAGCACAGGCAGTGCCCCATTTATGAAAATGAATATATTCTATATGTGACTGTATTCTTTTTGGGAACGGAGCATCACTTCTCATAGAAATAACATTCTTAATAGTAGGTGGCTGCCAGGTCAGCCCACTTCACCAGCAGATAATAACGTAATCCAACTCAGAGGGCAGGAATATTACCTTCATCCCACATAAGCTGGAGGCTGGTGATCAGGGGACGCTCAAAGCCACCTGCCTTCAAGTTCATTAGCAGTGACATCTCCTGCTAACAGATTTTCATTAAGACTGAATCTGTGAATAAATGCCTCCACAAGAGGCCTCCTAGGAGTCCAAGGAAAGACTCCAGGCCACCAGTCTATTCATGGGAACCCTTAGTTAAAAATGAGCATCCTAGTGAAGTAAATCTGAAATTATGCTCCTGAGTCAGAAGGAATGTCAGGTTCTACTTCAGCAATCTAGAATTCAGTTCTTCTGGTGTGTACTTACCTTTTTAGAAACCTCTAAACAACTTTTATCAGCATAAAAACCTCCTTGGCCTTCCCCAAAACAGTCAATCACTATCTTCTCACATAGTCAACACTTGCCCACCATTTGCAACCTCAAAGCTGAAGGGGTAAATATCCTTTCTAAAATGCTTGTGCTTTTGAGGTTGTGCTCCGTATAGTGAGTCACTAGCTTCCAGCTAGGGGGGTAAAGGGGTGAAGACATCCTAATTCAGTGTTTCCCCAGCTATCTCACTAATTTTCCCTGTTTTCCTATTAAACCTGGGCTGGGGGATAAAAAGTGGGGTGACAGTGGGAGTAGGTAAAGAATTTCTCAAGCCATGGTGACCTTAGAGAAATGCTCTAGGCTTATCCCAAGGCCCATCCACTCTTAAGGCCATCTTCTGGGAGAACTGAGAAACCAGGGCTGTTCATATAGTAAAATTTTTCAGGGAAAAATACTGAAACATGTTCATTACAAATGTATGTGCTTGTTATAATCTAACAAAGTCCAATAAACTTGGCAACAAAATTCCCCAAATAAATAAAATTCCCTGTGGAGCTTTGGCATGTGGTAACTGGGCTTCTATATTTAGATTCCTGTTTAGGGCTTCATTACATTCATGCTAAAGTATAATGCCTGCATCTTACTGAACAAGTTAGGTTAACACCCAGCCCATATTTGAAAATAAGAGCAAATAAATTTACATGTTCAAAAAGATTTTAAAAGAATCTCATTTAAAAACCACTGTGAACTGTGCTAAGACTGATGAATCACAGACCTGTAGCCCTGAAACAAACATTATATGTTAATAAAAAAAATTAAAAACCAACAGTGGGACTTGAGTCTGAAATAAACATGCAGAATCTCAGTTCTGCCCTGGGTTCCATTCGTGAGGACATGCACCCTCTACTGTCTAGTCTGGGATTTGCAGCACGCTGTCCTGGTCAGAAATCCCTCAAGTACTTAGTTGTACTTAATGCACAGCAGGAAAAATTAAGTACTCAAAACTCCCTCCCAGTATACAAGTAAACTGCTTCGGATGTAAAACTTACATGAGGTAATGAGTATTAATATAATATCCTATATTAGTACACTTTGACAAAGAACTTTAACGTTCAGTTATACATTTCTTATTCTGTTTACAAAAATGTTACATGTCTTTATAATAGAATCATTTCAGAATGAGTCCATCTCAAAAACTTTATAAGAAAATTTATTCACAGGAGATGTCACTGCTAAATCACCTGAAAGTAGGTCCCTTTTTTGGACTATCCTCATGACCGTCACCCAGCCCCCTACTTATGTGTGATGAAGGTATATATCTGCCCTCTGAATTGGATTACACTACACTTGCTGGTGAAGTGAGCTGGTCTGAAGACATCTACCATTAAGAATACTGCTTCTGTGAGAAATGGTGCTCTGTTTCCAAATATGGAATGTATTTCTTAGATAATACCTGTGGAACCTTCTATTTCCAAATGCCTTCGGACCTTTATGTAAATGGCTTAGATCAGATGACATGGAGGATATGCTGAATCACAGCTCCTTATAGTCTGAAGGTGGCAGTAATCACTAAACCCTCCTGTAATTCAGACTTTTGAGTCAGTCAAGGACTTTTTGTAGAAAGTTGACTTTTTTTACTACAGCCACGCTGGTTTCTTTTCCTTGTCATTTTGGCATTTCTAATCCAACTGGTAGATACTCAAGAACAATTTTCTTTTCAGTTTCATCACAAGTTGTAAAGAACACTATTGTTTCAGCTAGAAACCTGGAAGCACACCAGTTAAAATACAATAGATACTCCTTGTTTCTTGCAACTTTGGAAAAAAATCTAATTTTTTTTCAGTGCCTTAAAAATCTTGCAAAAGCAAGGGATATCAAAAGCAATAGTATTTTCATAAATTAAATGATGACTTTTACTGAAAAGCCCCAGTTCCCCCAGAAACCAGGCACCTGCCAGAGCTTATGTCTTTACATTTCCCATTTAATCCCCTTTGAGTGCCTGGGAAGTTCACTGATACCCAGGAACACTAGTGAGGCCCAGGATAAGTCAGTATCCCAGGTATATAATACAGATCCACAGCCACTTACTCTTTCAAAGAATCTCACCCTATTTAAATAACACAAAAGCAAAGACTGAGAAAAGTGGGTTACGCTGGAAGAACCAACCACAAATAAAAGAGGTAAGTGAAAGGTATTTATCACTGGACAATACACTGTCATCACTTACAGTGTATACACAGAAAAAGTAGCTTAAATACAGATTTACCGTACTAGTAGTAAGAATTTCTTTTACTTATTAAGATCATACTTACAAATCTCTCTGAATCTGGTCAATCAGTAAACCATCAATCTTTTTCTTATTTACAAAATACCAAGCCATTCCACCAAAGTGTCTTGTTGAACGTAAAAGGTCATACTTCCCATGTTTATCTATGTCTTCATAGGTCTGATGATGAATCTATTCACATAAAATGCAATTTTTTTCAGGAACACGAAAATAAAAAGTGAGCATTACTGGATACACATTTACTTGCATGAGTGTTGCCCAAGAAAGGA